ATAAGTATGTATGTAAGTAAGTAAGTAAGTAAGTAAGTAAGTAAGTAAGTAAGTAAGTAAGTAAGTAAAATTGTATTTATATAGTGCCTTTCACAGAAATGAAATTCACAAGGTGCTGTACAATAATCAATAAAATAGATAGAGTTGATTGGCAACAGGTGCTGTACAATAATCGAACACAAATAGAAAAACAGAAATATTTGACAATTACATTACAAATGGTGAAATTCAGGTCAATACATTCTCAAATTTTTGGAATAGTAGGGGGCATGGAATAACAATGAAGGAGAAAAAGTAATTAAGGTATATACAATAGATAGGCTTGCCTGTAACTAATTGGAGTCGATGGTCATGGCGTTTAAAATGTATTGTGAACGCAACTTGCGTGTTGGATTGTAGTGGGAGATGAGGCTCGAGATGTAGTTGGGCGCCTGGCCATGTAGGGCTCTGAAGGTCAGAACTAGGATTTTGAATCTGAGTCTGAAGTGGACAGGAAGCCATTGTATTTTTTTTTTTACTGATTAATTCCGAGGGGGGAAAAATCCTTCAAATTATCTTTTTTTATGTTACTGTGTATAGAGGTGTACATACAATTTGTTTATAGTACTAGATGTTTGATTAATAGATTTGGTTCAGCATTATGAGTAACAGCTAAATGACTGAAGTCAGCTAACTGCAGTTTCTACAGACAACTTTTCTTTTGTCTAAAAAGGTAAAGTTCCTGATTAAAGTTTCTGTCAGGTGTGCAAATGTGACTCACAGCTCATGTGCAGACATACTGCACATCAAGGTTACATTGATGTTGCTCCTATAACCTGTCAATAAGAAGAGGCCATGACCTCACAGGCTTACAGGCCAGGCTAGCATAATCTGTGTTGTGTAGCTGAGCGCTGCTGATAAAAGCCTTTTCATCATCCTGTTGCCTCAGCCTACATTACCAGACCATTATCTTTGTGGTGCCATCAGAATGTGAAGGAGAATGGATGGATAAGCACTGAGAAGCAATGCAAATATAACAGATCAAGTGATTGTGCTGTCAAACGGATAGTGGTTAAAAAAATCGCATTGATCTCTAAGGTAGTTTACAGCTTTTGTTTAGCTCCAGTTTACAGATGCGCCAAAGATTTACATCAACCGTATCATTTCTTCATAATTCAGGCTTTTTCCATAATACAGTTTGTGCATTGTTAGATCAGTTGTGTCGGTATAACTGTGTTGTTTTGACCCACAGTGAAGTTGTGATAATGTAGCACCAGATACTTTGGGTTGCAACGTGTGCACTATCCCAACAATGCAGTAAAAAGTGTGATAAGAGATGTTTTCTTTTATCTTGGCTATTTGCAGTATGTGTTTGAACATGCATGTGAGAGTTGTAGCGTCTCCCCCACCATACACACACACACACACACACACACACACACACACAC